TAGTTTCAATTTGTCTAGTGGTTTTAACAGAATTTATATGCTCCAAAATCCATCTTTTAAAAGGCCTGAAAGTTTTACCCACATATAGTTTATTGCATTGGCATTTTATAAAATAAACCAGGCCTTTAGAGTTACAATTAAAGAAGGAGTTTGGATAAAATGTGTCAGATTGAGCACTATTCTGAAAGCTTTTTGAGTCATTACATATGAAAGTACAGGCTTTCTACTTTGGGTACAAGCCCTTCTATTGGTGGATCTGGAACCACCATTCTGACCTTTATATAGATTATTTTTTCTTTTTATATTTAATGGGTAAATGCATTCTGCAGACCCCTGAACATTTTCTACTGCAAAATTGAATGTCTACTCACTTTTCTCCTTTCCTTCCTTCTAGCCCTATACTTTCCTTCCTTCTAGCCCCTATAACATCCTTTTCCTTTCTTGACTGTTTTACCCGGTTTAAAATGTTCACAATATTGTTATACAATCTGTAATGTCCCTTACTGTGTTTAAGGATATGTATCCTTCCATTTGTGTTCCACCCATTTATATTATACCAAACATATGAATGTAACAACTGTTAACTATTTTTATCTGCTATTGTGAACTTGACATTTCATAATAAAAATAAAATACTAGATGGGTTAGAAATTACTTATATTATATAGATACATAGAACAAAAATTAAATGTAGCAACTCAGTTACAAACCATCTGGTTTTGACATTGTAACAGAATAAAGAGTAGATATGGATTGTCTCTGTGAAAATAAATTTGGTATCTGTGGTACACAGTCTGCAGTAGGTATCAAGTGACTGTGCTAAAATGGAATCACACAGTAACTGAGATGCCAACAGACTAGGGGAAATCAACAATTATAGTAACCATACAATAAGCACTCATACAGACAACCACACCTGTCACATGTCCAGTGTTTAGAATTGGCATAAATTGCATATACGGGAGAAGGAATAGACTCTGAGATCACCAAGAGTCCAGAGGTATAATATAAATAAACATGTTATGAATGTCTAATACATAGATGGAGTAGAGAGTTTTTTCCTTTATAGGCAAACATATATAGTACGGGAGGAAAAAAGTTATATGCAATAAAAACGCTCTTTCAGTGAGACTTGCTGAACTAGGCAAAATCACTGATGTCCTCACTAGAGCTAATCTAGCATTTGTCTAATCTCCGCCCACCTGTGTCATGGCAGTCGCCCTAAACGTGTGACCCAGAGTAGTTGCTCTGTATAGTGCGCTTTAAAAATATTGAATAAAAAAATTAAAAGCTGCTACACACTCTAGTGAGTATCTCTCTTACCCACTACAAATTTACATACACATAGTCAAATTAGCAAGATTAGGGATAAACACTCAAATCTATACTAATTTATAGGAGTGGAGTGCTATAGACTTAAATACAGGGTATACACTTACCCTAAAATGTATATAAAACTCAGACGGTGAGTAAACGTATAAAGGGGAAAAAAAAACATATAGTGTGACTACTGCTCCCTGCTCGCGCCCACCTATTTCGTCATTTTGACAAAATAGGGGGCGCGGCTTCACGAGGCTCCCGGCGCTGGAACCAGGTAAGTAAAATTTTTGCCTGGAGAGTCCCTTTAATCCTGAGATACTGAAACAGATCTCTGGAAGGAAGATTATATTTTGATTGTAAAAAAACACATATATTAGAGATCTTTTGTATCCCTAAATGTAGCCAAGAGTTGATGTTCAAATCTACCATAGCATGTTGAAGTACCTCTATGAGGGTATCATAAAGTAGATTGCCTTTCAAGTTTAGTTTTTTATTTAAAAGTTTCACTGTAAATACCATATCACTTAGGATTTTATTAGTAGATTGTTCTGGTTCTAATACAGACAGATTCAGGAGGCCTAACCACACTAGAGTAGATAGTTTAAGCCTAGGACTACATTCCTGTTCACGTTTGAACCATGAATAAGGGGTACACTGATCCGGGTTCAACCATAACAGGAGATGAGTTGCTTTACATGTATCATGAGTCTTGACCACGTCCTGAAATGCTATACCACCCTTTGGATAGCTTCTACGCAAGGTTTCAAACGCTATTCTAGGTGGTCTATCTAGCCAAATATAGCTAAAAAACAAGCTTTGGTTAAGGGTCCCCATCGCAATTCTATATGGAATCGCGCTAAAGAGGTATAAAAGTTTCAGCATAAAGAATGCTTTGGCCATATTTAACCTTCCTATCCAGGAGGACTCCAACATTTTGTAACCTGATATTGCAATTCATTGAATAAGTTATCGAAATTAATTTGAATCGCACTACCAATATCAAAATATATTTTAATCCCCAAATAATCAATTATATCACTTGCCCATACCAGGTTGTAACGGGAAGCCATAAGATCTTTCTAAATCTTAGTTAAAAGAAAATATAGTTAACCTTATAGTTGGAGAAGCTACTATATATAGAAATATCATCCAATAGAGATGGGATTGACACCAGTGGGTCGACCAGAGTAAGAAGGACATCATCCGCAAACAAAGATATCTTAATATTTCCTTCCTGTGACTGTACCCCCTTTATATTGCTATTCTGTCTAATCAAGGAAGCTAAAGGTTCAATTGTAAGGACACATAGGAGGGGGGGGGGGGCAAAGGGCATCCCTGCCTAGTACCGTTTTTATTTTAAAAGGGTCCGAGTCAAAATAAGGATTACTAATTTTCACTTAGGAGTACTTATAAAGTGACATAGTTTTATTCCTAATTTGTCCCTCTAAGCCGAATCGGCCCAGGACAGAGTCAAGAAAACTCCAGCTAACCCTGTCAAAGGCCTTCTCGGCGTCGAGGACCATAATAACTGATCCCACTTGATTCTCCTTCAATTTGTGTATTAAATTAAATATCCTACGTGTATTTCAGTAGTAATTCTTCCCTTCACGAACCCAGACTGGTCCACCTCAATCAAATCTCCTATGACCTCTTTAAGTCGGTTAGACAAGATACAAGAGAATATTTTAATATCTATATTAATTAGAGATATTGGTATATAGTTGGTGATAAGTGTAGGATCTTTATCTACTTTAGGTATTGGAATAATTGAAGCCAACATCATCTCCTTCGGAAAAGGGGAATCTATAGAGACGTTTGTAAACATCTCTAAAAAGATAGGGGTAATGTTTTTAGAGAAGGTTTTATAAAATATAGCAGAGAAGCCGTCCAGGCCTGGCGCCTTGTTTAGTTTTAGATTATCTAGTACGTCTACTATTTCTGATAATAAAAAAGGAGCATTTAGACTTTATAATTTCTCTGTATTGATTCTTGGAAGTTTCCTTAAAAAATGATCAATCTTGCTCTTATTAGCCCCTACCTCATCTAAATTATATAGAGAAATATAGAAGTCCACAAAAGCCTTAGCAGTATCGTTGGGCGATGTTAAATGGGTATCCCCCAAGATTATTTTTTTTTAATAGAGTTATCTTTAAGATGATTCTTTAATTTATTTGACAGATCCCTATTAATTTTATTATTGTTGTGGTACCATCTTTGTTGAGGAAGACAAGGTTTTTATTGACCATCTCATATGTTTTATCCTTAATGGATGTCTTTATCTTAGTTATTTTCTCAGTTAGTTCCTTAGTTACACAAATTTTATTTAGGCGTTCTTTTTTAGACAAGTTTATCCTCAATTCTTGTCAAGATTCATCTTTCTTACGTTTAAATTCTGAGCCGTGTTTAATTAATAATTGAGTCTCCACCATGACCTAGGTCTAAAACTATCTTTTGTACTAATTTGTAAAAATACTGGTGCATGGTCGGAAATTGCTATAGAGCCAATGGTAGCTTTGGTGATTGAGCACAAGAAACCAGCTTTAAAGCAGCACTGTCATGTCGAACTTACCTTTCCTCAATCTCTTCCTCTTCTCCCCCTCTCTCAGGATCGGTTATTCTTTTCTTCCTGTCTTCTTTAGTTTTCTTTAAAATCATAAGACAAAGTAGGGACTCTTTGCCTTATGGAGGATTCCTCGGCTTGACCAGCTCAGGAGCAAAGTGTGCTTCATTTCTGCTGGTCAGAGCAATTTTCCCATGATCCTTACCTTTCCTTTGTGTTCCCGCGATGCTTCCTGTCATTTTACACAAAACTGCCGAATTGCGTTCTAACAGAATGAGAACAGTATGTTCGTTTGTTTTAGAACGCAATTCGGCACTTTATTCGGATCGCAATTTCATCCGATCCTATTTGTGCTATGGCTGCACCATGCAGCCACTTAGTAGATAACTCCCTAATTCCCACGGTATCAGGGAGCTATCTACTAAAAGGCTGAAAGACCTAAATTGGTCTTTCAGCCAACTTTACTAATAC